TCCGGCAAGCTTACAAAGGGGGTGGCAAATTCTACCCTCCCTTCCCCCTCCCCCTCCCCCTTCCCCTCCCCCTCCCCCTCCCCCTCCCCCTCCTCTCCCCTAATCCCCAATTCCCCCTCACTCCATCACCCCCTTTCCCCATTCCCCCCCTCCTCCCTCCTTCCTCTCCCATCCTTGCTTCCAGCTTGACTTGCATGAACAAGTGTCCGATTCCTGGCTACGTGGAATAATGGTAAAGCACTCGCCCGGCACTTGTCCAACCACTTGGGCTGAACGGTAGAGCGACGGTCTCGCTTCATGCAGGACGGCGTTCAATTCCCGACCGTCCAAGTGGTTGGGCGCCATTCCTTCCCCCCCGTCCCATCCCAAATCGTTATTCTGACCCCTTCGAAGTGGTATATAGTAGTAATGGCTTTGCACTTTCCCCTGATAATTCATTCATTCATTCACCCGGCGCTTCGCAAGCGTTTTCGCCTGGGTTCGTATCCTTACCGGGGAGGATTGACTGGGTGCCAATCCTTAACTGTTGCCTCTGTAAAACCCAGCAGTGAATGGGTACCTCGTTGTTAAACGATTTAGCGGGTCGTATTCCGGAGAAAAATTAGGATTAAGGACTTGATCGAAATGCTACGCGTGCTAGTGGCTGTACAATGGCTACTTTCTGGAAAAGCAAGAGTCTCCGCTAGAAAAGTCTATGGGAAGGCAAGCGACCTACCTCATTGGTCCTAAACAAGGGATTGGCTAAGCATCCAAACGTCTGAGATTCACAAGATCGCTGGATCTGCAGCAGTGACTCCAAAGGTGGATAGACAACTTAACCTTTGCTGTGGATCCTTGTACACAAAAGTTAAGGTTAAAACAATACTCAGCTTTGAGGTTGACCAGACCACACACTAGAAGTTGAAGGGACGACGACGTTTCGGTCCGTCCTGGACCATTCTCAGCTTTGAGAATGAACGGGCGGCAGCGAGTTTTGAATTGGCTCGGAGTTACCTAGTTTAAGTTTACGAAGCTGTAACGAGTGTGTTCCGATAACGAAGACTTGCGGCCTTGAATGAACTTGTGTCAGAAGCAAGTTGGAGGGGAAAACCGCCCCTCAGATAAAGTTACAGAAACAGCGAGGAAGCCTTAAACCCAGAGAGGCCGTAACACTAATTCCCGGCGGTAACGATGACAAGGAGTGTAACGAGGTGGTCGTAACACAAAGTTGGTGTAACATTAGAGGGGTCGTGGAGGGGTCGTGGAGGAGGGTCGTGGAGGGCTGAGAACGACAGCACCAGCTGTGAAACTTGAACGTGGCAAATATCCCAACATTTTGCGGTGTAGTAATGCTTAATTTTTTTGAGCGACCGACATGACAAGAACTCTTAAACTCTTAGAGCTGCGTCGAGGCGCTCTTCAGGCAAGCACTGAGAACCTTCCGACCGCCATTCATACTCTTAAGAGTTTGCAAATAATCTTCTAGCAAAATATTAAAGCTTAAACTCTTAATTTGATCATCTTATTGTCTGCTTCCTGAGTCGTGTTTCTTGCTGTGAAAAGTGAAAAGTGTCTGTGTGAAAAAAAGTAATTAGTTAGTAGTTAATAACAGTTGATTGACAGTTGAGAGGCGGGCCGAAAGAGCCGAACTCAACCCCCGCAAGCACAACTAGGTGAATACAACTAGGTGAATACACACACACAAGCTCCCGAAGCACTCCGTAACACCTGTCTAACTCCCAGGTACCTATTTACTGCTAGGTAACAGGAGCATCAGGGTGAAAGAAACTATGCCCATTTTTGTTTCCGCCGACGCCGGGAATCAAACCCCGGGCCACTAGACTACGTATCCAGCATGCTGTCCACTCAGCCACCAGCGCCCTGACACCGTGTGTATATGTATATGTATAAATGTGTGTATTCATAAAATACGAATCTATTTGTAAAGTAAACTCACCAATAAATAGCCAGAGGGAGGGCTCAAAATTCCCATAATAATCCAGCATTTGGTAACGGTAGACCAAATTTAGTTTCCGCTCACCGTAAACCAGCAGGTAAACTCAGAACTGGCCATATGTTGATAGCAGGCGGCCTTCATAATGACCAATTTAAATGATAATTATAGTTGGGAGAGGACCGCTGGAAATGACTAGGCACGCACCGCCAGCCAAAACCCAGATCCCTGCGTGTCTGCTCCTCCGTGGAGGGGGGCACTGTGCTGTAGAGGACGAGTGTAGAGCAGAGGACGAGTGTAGAGCAGAAGAGGACGAGTGTAGAGCAGAAGAGGACGAGTGTAGAGCAGAGGACGAGTGTAGAGCAGAAGAGGACGAGTGTAGAGCAGAGGACGAGTGTAGAGCAGAAGAGGACGAGTGTAGAGCAGAGGACGAGTGTAGAGCAGAAGAGGACGAGTGTAGAGCAGAGGACGAGTGTAGAGCAGAAGAGGACGAGTGTAGAGCAGAGGACGAGTGTAGAGCAGAAGAGGACGAGTGTAGAGCAGAGGACGAGTGTAGAGCAGAAGAGGACGAGTGTAGAACAGAGGACGAGTGTAGAGCAGAAGAGGACGAGTGTAGAACAGAGGACGAGTGTAGAGCAGAAGAGGACGAGTGTAGAGCAGGAGAGAGAGCGGCCTCTGCTACTCTACACTCCTCTTGGGGGCCAGATTTAGGTCCCGCTGTCATTAAATAGCAAGTCGAAGGAATCTACCAAGTTAACACTCTTAGAAAAATCTAAGAGTGTTAAGAGCTCTCAAATCTACTTAGTAGATTTGAGAGCTGGGAGGTAGATGAGGGCTCTATGAGTTATGGAGTTGGTGTTTGGGTAATGGGGAGTAGATGAGAATGTGGTGAGTGGTAGATGGGTAGGAGAGAGTGGGTGGCGAGAGTAGATGCGGGGGTAGGAGAGAGTGGGTAGTGAAAGTAGACGGTTAGATGCGAGTGGGTGGTGAAGGTAGGTGGATAGGGGGTGTGTAGGTAGAGAAATTAGATGGCTATGGGGCGACTAGGTGGTGAAAGTACTTTCACCTAGGTAGTAAAAGTAGATAGGAAGGTAGGATTGGTTTGTGAAAGTAGATAGGTAGGGAGTGATTGGAGAAACTAAATGGGTAAGGGCAAGTGCTTGGTGAAAGTAGATGGGTAATATCAATTGGGTAGATGCGATTGAGTTACCTTGCTTGTCTCACTTTAAAAAAAAAATGCAAATGCGTAGACATGTTCAAGAGGAAAATAACACGAAGAATTTAAAGAACATGGACAGAACATTCAACTGCTGTTCGCCATGATAGAAACACTAATATCTCCACCATAGCCACGAATACCGCAGAAGCAATCACAATTCCCGACGCAAACGGAGGTAAAAATATCCCTGTGACGCAGGAATTCATATAGACAAAAGCACCTTTTTTTGGTCAACCTCGAATGACTGAGTCTCTGCATTCAATTCCTAGTGTAGTTTAGTTGGTGTGTCGCTGCCAGTGTCGCCATCTAGCTGACTGGATCGCTAAACTCGACCATAGTAAATAAAACATGGAACAGCTGACCATAGTAAATAAAACATGGAACAGCTGACCATAGTAAACAGTACATGGAACAGCTGACCATAGTAAACAGTACATGGAACAGCTGACCATAGTAAACAAAACATGGAACAGCTGACCATAGTAAACAAAACATGGAACAGATGACCATAGTAAACAGTACATGGAACAGCTGACCATAGTAAACAAAACATGGAACAGCTGACCAAGTCGTGTCCGAAACGCGAGGGTTTATACTTATTACTCTGTGCATTTCAAGACTAAATACCCGAATGTGGCCTTCAATTTCTGGTGTGGCTGTTGGACGTCGCCGGAAACTATTCCCCTGTGGAGAGAGAGGCTTAATTGTTGCCTAAATTCCTTGCAGGTGTTGCATTGCCTTTGCTTCCACGAACCACTAACATCCATCTTGCATGGGTTAAACATCAGCATCAACTTCCATACGAGTTTCTGTTGTGTAAAGATGATCAACACTCTATAAACTCACCGCTTAGGCATTTAAAACCCCTAATGAGTGGCACTAAATCAAGATATTTCTATATGAGGAAAATAATACAATACGATTCAGCGGCATGGGATCTTTTCCAAATGACGTATATCACAAAACTAGAATTAAATAGACTAAGCTACTTGGGACGTGGAGAATTGGATCTCACAACACAAAAGGATAGAAGAAATGGAGAGGACATGATCCCGACATACAATACACATGAATAAATAGACAAGGTGGATATGGACAGGCTGTTTAGAGAAAATGCAGCAATAGTTTATAGATGAGAACTAGAAACACAAATCATCCGATGCAACATGATGAAATAATTGCAAAATCAAAAAGACATTGTTGGAAATATTCTTGATGAAAACAGAGACACAGCATCGCTCAGGCAGGCTAATTCTTATTTATGGAATTACTGGTATTCATCACAATATATACCTGTAATTCAATAACCAATTTAACGCACATTTAAATGATTAAATCAGAGATAAAAATCACAATACCCTAGAGAAGCAGACTTCAGTATTTCAAAACAAATGCTTTCTGTAACATTGTTACATACAAAAATTCAATAAGCAAATGCCCCAGGCGACCTAAGGGATAGTGAGAATGTCATCGGGTGGCATTGAAACACTGCAATCTCTCACCCTGTCCATGGAGGACAGAAGAAAATGTATATATGCTGGTTAGCATTGTAAATGTGTGGCCACGTTTGTGGTAGAAAAAAAATGCAATCTGCGCTGCCTCAATACCTTCTTGTGAGGAATATTAGGAGTTGTGTAGCGTTGATTGTAGCAGAGATAGAAGTTGAAGACTACCGCAATGACTCGGATTCTGATCATACAGTGTGTTCCTAAAGATGTATTTCGTTGTGACCTGCCAAGTTTGCCTTATACAAGGGTTATTGTAGCCTTGTATTGGGCCTTGTATGAGTCTAAATTTGGTTTGTTAAATAATCTTTTCCTATGTGAATTTGTATAAATTTTGATCTGGATGACTCAAGTCACCAAGTGAGTATATTTTTATCGTATGTTATAGTCAAGTCAATATGAAGATGTTAATTTCTGTGATGAGTGAAAGAACGTATTGATTACATGAGTGACAAGGTGTCTTGGAAAACTTTCTTGAGCTTAAGGAAATCTTCAAGTGACACTTCATGTTAAATTTCTCTTACGAGATGGAGAGCTAAGGGAAAGTTTCTATTCTAGATGTAACAGTCTAGGAAAGGATTTGGGACTTTGGTTCTTTAGTCAACACAAAGGGAAATAAAGGACTATGCCTTAATGCTATAAATGAGTGTTATGGCAGGTACAAGGGAAGCGTTGTTGAAGCTTATGTCAACTATGCTGTTACAAATAGAAGCAGGTTGACTAGAAACTCAGTCAAGTAAAGCAAGTTATCGTCAACAAGGATATCACATGGTTTCTACAAATAACGAAAATATCACCAGAGATATCCTGCCCAAAAACAGTGGCAAGAGAAGATTAGACATAGCCAAGGCACTACACATCAAACACTCTCATCCAGCTGTAAACAGCCAGATTACCCTTAGTTACATCTTACCTTTCTTTATAGCAAATAAGAACTTTCGCCCTTCAAAACATTTATATATTACACCACAGAACGTTGACTATGTATTGCCTCAATTCACCTCATACTACTTGGTGAACAAATGTCACTATATATTCACCGTGTCATGGATCACCAACCCTTTTCTGGAACTAGTGTTTACTGGTTTCCCTTTTTTTTCATTTACATGTATCCAGGTTTGTTCATTTCTCGAATCGAGTTGATATTTTCAACACTGAATATATCCTTATTGTTAACACGTTTGATCCAGTTGTTAACACGTTTGATCCAATTGTTAAAACGTTTGATCCAATTGTTAAAACGTTTGATCCAATTGTTAAAACGTTTGATCCAATTGTTAAAACGTTTGATCCAATTGTCAAAACGTTTGATCCAATTGTTAAAACGTTTGATCCAATTGTTAAAACGTTTGATCCAATTGTTAAAACGTTTGATCCAATTGTTAAAACGTTTGATCCAATTGTTAAAACGTTTGATCCAATTGTTAAAACGTTTGATCCAATTGTTAAAACGTTTGATCCAATTGTTAAAACGTTTGATCCAATTGTTAAAACGTTTGATCCAATTGTTAAAACGTTTGATTCAATTGTTAAAACGTTTGATCCAATTGAACAAATGAAGTGTGTTTGATCCAATTGTTACACATTAACCACTTTACACTTCTAAGCCTTTCTACACTGAATTGACTTTTGTTAAAATTTACTCTTCTTCTCGTCATATGTAAAGTTGATAATTCCCAGGAATAACTCGTCTTTCTCTTAACATTTTACACGGTAATTACATCCATTCCTTAGTGAAATGGACAAAAATATTCTGCATAATCCAGGTGGGGTCTCACAGGATGAACCACACAAAGGAAACTATTAACTATTTCAAATAGACTAAGTGAGCTTAATCTCGTGTCGTTAGAGACAGAGGGGATATTGCCACCTGTAAAATACTAAAGGTTAATGGCGAGATAGAGAGGAACACGATGTTTGACAGAGTTGTCACTGTTCGGAACTCGGGGGCCAAATTTTTTGTTTGGATCAGAACAAAGAGACACAAAGTGTTGGGGTCATATATAAGGGACACTAGGGGATGCGGTCATATATATATAAGGGACACTAGGAGATGGGGGGTCATATACTGTATAAGGGACACTGGACACTAACTTTAGGAACTAACTGGATTGTTGACCAGACCACACACTAGAAAGTGAAGAGACGACGATGACGTTTCGGTCCGTCCTGAACCATTCTCAAGTCGATTTCAGCCAGGTTATTGTGACCCCTTGTCTGCATAGGGACACTGGAGTTTGGCGCCAAAACAAGGGGACACTAGGGGTAGTGTCCACATCAAGGTTACACTATGGGTAGATACCTAAATGAGGAGACACAAGTGGATGAAACATTGTCATTAGGGCACTAGAGTATAATGCCATAACATGCTGGATAAGGAGTCAGGGGGAGCCAATTGGGGTTTGCACCAGAACACGGGAACATTAATGATTGGAGTCAGAACTATCTTGAGATGATTTCGGGGCTTTGGTGTCCCCGCGGCCCGGTCCTCGACCAGGCCTCCACCCCCAGGAAGCAGCCCGTGGCAGCTGACTAACACCCAGGTACCTATTTACTGCTCTATTTACTAGGAGACACAAATGAAAATTAATTAACAAAATGAGCCGGAGGGATATAAGGATTTCTGCAATCGATGCACCTGCAGGTAAGAGGCTCGTGCAGATGAAGAATTACACCATTAGATGATTGAAGTTTCCTCAGCATCACTGTAGTTGATTACTTTAAGAGGCAGACGCAGTTGCACAAGGATCACACAGTACGCCTACTGTGTATGCTATCAGTGCAAAGTTAGCAAACAGGTGACAAAATTGAAATGGGTAGACATTAAGGTCGATTTTTTTCGGTGCTCTAAATGCAGGCCGAGCAAAGCACAAGTAGGTGAGCAGATATTAATCCAGGTGAGCAGATATTAATCCAGGTGAGCAGATATTAATCCAGGTGAGCAGATATTAATCCAGGTGAGCAGATATTAATCCAGGCGAGCAGATATTAATCCAGGTGAGCAGATATTAATCCAGGTGAGCAGATATTAATCCAGGCGAGCAGATATTAATCCAGGTGAGCAGATATTAATCCAGGTGAGCAGATATTAATCCAGGTGAGCAGATATTAATCCAGGTGAGCAGATATTAATCCAGGCGAGCAGATATTAATCCAGGCGAGCAGATATTAATCCAGGTGAGCAGATATTAATCCAGGTGAGCAGATATTAATCCAGGTGAGCAGATATTAATCCAGGTGAGCAGATATTAATCCAGGTGAGCAGATATTATTCCAAATATTAATCACAGTACCTGGATCTCAAATCCAGCAATGCAAGCACTCCCAAGCAAGCCCACGATAGACCAATCCCATGCTAGTCCACCCCCATTGCAATTTCTCTCCCATGCTAGACCAAACCCCATTGAGAGTCCACCTTCATACACATTTATTCAGCCTTATACTTGTGCAAATATATTCATACATGTTCAGAAGCAAAGTCAGCTTCCAGCGCGTCCACCACGGGCTAAGCTAATATCATCACACACGCAGATGAAACAGGAGAGTGTTGGTCTTCAGGTAACTTGACATTCGTGTTCCTGTGTCCTCGCCTCTCTTCCTTGCTCGCTAAAATGTTATGTTAAATGCATCAAAGTCGGGAGAATGGCACACATACTATAATATAATATTGCTATTTTCTTTGAACTATGGACATGTTTTACCTATATGCAAATAATATAATAAAATTTAGCTATAACGATGAAGTAATGTATAGTCACGAAAAAGTATTTACGACTAGAAATATATAAAAATAGGTAACATTAATAAGTAACGATAATAGGATATATAAAATTGGGTTAAAATAATTGTGCTTGCTGGATTATGTTTTACTTATATGCAAATAATATAATAATATTTAGCTATAACGATGAACTAATGTATAGCATCGAAAAGGTATTTACGAGTAGATATATAACAGTAGGTAATAATAATAGGTAACGATAATAGGATATATAAAATTGGGTTAAAATAATTGTGCTTACTGGCATATGATTGCATGGAGAGTGCCTAGTTTCCCACGAATCTCCTCTTCTCTCTCTGGCAGGACGTTACTCAATATTCATCTGTGCAATAAGTTCCCAGATTCAGTCCATGTTCATCACGATGTTTGAGATCACTTCAATGGGTTTAAACAAGTCTGTGCATATATATATATATATATATATATATATATATATATATATATATATATATATATATATATATATATATATATATATATATATATATATATATATATATATATACATATATATACATATATATATGTTGAATTGCTTTGCATTTTGATGTATATATATCCATCCTTTGTCTTTCTCATTGTAAATAAAGTAGGCTTATTTTAATCAATTGAAAATTGCACCGGTATTTTATGGTCTTTTACATGTTGTTCTCCGAGAAGTGTTCTCCCAAATTATGTTCTTCGAGTTGTGTTCTCCTAATTTTGTTCTCCAAATGTTATTTTACACGTGCTTTTCTCTTGGAGTTGTTCTTTGGCTGTTGTTTACTAGGGGTTGTTCTCCAGGTTCAAGGTGTATACGGAGGTGAACAAGATGAACACCAGGTGTTCATCTCTAGAAATTGTTCTCCATGAGGCATTCTCCATTTGTTGATCTCTAGGTATTAAATCCTCCATATGTTGTTCTCTATGTGTTATTTACCAGCCATTGTTCTTCACGTGTTATTCATCAAGTAATGTTCTCCAGGTAACATTAGCAGTAATGAGATGTTGATGTCAGTGAATAATATTATGAGTACTTAGGCGTTATGAGTTAATGGGCCAAGAATCAATAACGAGTTTATTGTAGTTTATGCATTAATTTGTCTTCACTCAGAGTCAGAAATGCGTTAGTGAGCCCGTTAGTGAACTGTGGAGAACTGAAGACGTAATTGGGTAACTAGTTATACCATCTGGGTCATCAACAAGGTGATTATCCATGAACAGGATGATTTCCTAATCATCCTGTCCATGGATGAGGATAATTAGGAAATAAGTAAATGTACAATGCCGATTATTATTTGTGAGAAGTGAGAGTGTTGAGGTGGGAGCATTGTGCAGCTGTCAACGTTGTGGTGGGAGCATTGTGCAGCTGTCAACGTTGAGGTGGGAGCATTGTGCAGCTGTCAACGTCGTGGTAGAAGCATTGTGCAGCTGTCAACGTTGTGGTGGGAGCATTGTGCAGCTGTCATCGTTGAGGTGGGAGCATTGTGCAGCTGTCAACGTCGAGGTAGAAGCATTGTGCAGCTGTCAACGTCGAGGTAGAAGCATTGTGCAGCTGTCAACGTTGTGGTGGGAGCATTGTGCAACTGTCATCGTTGAGGTGGGAGCATTGTGCAGCTGTCATCGTTGAGGTGGGAGCATTGTGCAGCTGTCATCGTTGAGGTGGGAGCATTGTGCAGCTGTCAACGTCTAGGTGGGAGCATTGTGCAGCTGTCAACGTTGTGGTGGGAGCATTGTGCAGCTGTCATCGTTGAGGTGGGAGCATTGTGCAGCTGTCAACATCGAGGTGGGAGCATTGTGCAGCTGTCAACGTTGTGGTGGGAGCATTGTGCAGCTGTCATCGTTGAGGTGGGAGCATTGTGCAGCTGTCAACGTCGAGGTAGAAGCATTGTGCAGCTGTCAACGTCGAGGTAGAAGCATTGAGCAGCTGTCAAGTCACACATACATTGCTAGTTACGTTGACTAATACTCGTATATCTTGAATTTTCCTTTTCAAATCGTTTTCCTGTTTGAATAGTTGGATAACTACAACGGGAGAACAGACTCATACTGTAACTATTAATCACGCTAACAGCTCAACATTCATCATAACAGCTCAACATTCATCATAACAGCTCAACATTCATCATAACAGCTCAACATTCATCATAACAGCTCAACATTCATCATAACAGCTCAACATTCATCATAGCAGCTCAACATTCATCATAACAGCTCAACATTCATCATAACAGCTCAACATTCATCATAACAGCTCAACATTCATCATAACAGCTCAACATTCATCATAACTAAATACCATTTAAGTACGATTATTTCTATTTTAACCTCAAATAACTAGACAAATTTGAACAAGTTCCGTTACAGTGTTCTCCATGTTCTTGTATATAACAACCACAAAAATATGTGAGCCTAATTGCCCTTTTAACAACTCTGTCTGTATCAATTGTGGGATAATGGGCCCAGTCATGTGTGTAGAATTGCTTCAGCAAGCTGGCAAGATGCCCCACCTGGTCCTGTGATAACTCACCTCTTGAGTTGAGACAAGTTGCAAAGGCATGGTGATGTAGTGTATTGCTGCTCGTGTGTTGAATGTTGCATGAGTTTGCATGCTATATATCTCTCTCTGCAATGCCTGGACAATCTTATTCTCCACTTGCTGTTTCTCGAGGAGCTAAGAGTCAATACAATGAATTTTATTTGTAATTTCAACATACTTTATCAGCCCCTTATCGTGTGGATAAGGGGCTAGGAAGTGTGGATAAGGGGCTAGGAAGAGTGATAAGGGGCTAGGAAGTGTGGATAAGGGG